AAAGAAACAGTTTGAAAATAGATTCTATAAAAACACTGGTTATTTGTTATGAGAACTTTAAATTTTTAAAAAATTCATATATTGTAATCTGGAAAACAAAACATCATGATTTCAGATGGTTTTGGGCGTGAACTTGTGTACTGGTTTTAATAACTCATTAGGATGTATAAACATTAAGGGTAGTAGGTTTGTCTGAAAAAATATTTCACCCTATGCTTGTTTTAGATGCAGTGAAAAAATATTCTTTTAAACATTTTAAACAAGTGCATGAGTATATCTGAATAATTAACCTTATGTTTTACACTAGTGCCTTATATTTCACTGATTACCAGAGTCTGGATTTTTAAATTTAATTTTTTTTCTTTAAAATGCCTGACTAGAATGAATAATATGTGTTTATCTTAGGCATATGTTGTTTTCCACCAAATTCATTGCTAACTGATACGGTAAGTTTCACTATTTTAAAGTCTATTTTTGTATCATTTAGAGTGGGTATTCATGGTTTTGCTTAACAAGTAAAACTGTCAGCAAATAAATGTAGATTGTTCAGCAATATGCCTAGAAGATAGATGCTGTTGAGAGGGATGACTCATGATCATCCAATGGATTATTTATCTTGCTTCTCTTGTGATGGTTTCTGTTGTTATGAACGCCAGTGATTGGTCAGGTGCTCTGGAGCAGGGCTCTGCTGAGCTGGGCATGGTGCTCTCCAGTGCAGCCTGGGCTGAAGCTCAGGGGCCACATGTCCTGGGCCAGTAGGGAGACTTGTAGGGTCAAGGGGGAGAGGGCACTGATGCTGCTGGCCCCTTCAGCTTCAGCCCAGAGCCCACCCCTGAGGACGTGTAAGCTGTCCTTGCCCAGCCTGAGCTGGGGAGAGCACTGCCTTTCTCCTTGTTGGTGACATGAATTATTTTCTCTAGCTTTCCCAGCACAGTTACTTTCTTGCTTTGTTTTCACCTTGTATCAGGGAAACAGTACCTTCTCAGGTGAAGTGCTATAATGAGCCAAATCCTATTCCCTAGTGCAATAGTATATAAACTTCAGTGTATATCAGAATCACCTGTAGGCTTGTTAAAATACAGGGTGTCCCCCCCAAATGAATACACACTTTAACAGCTGATAGCTAAATTTTGAAAATGAAATGTATTTTAATAAATACTGCCTTTATAATTATTCAAAGTATGTGTATACATTTTTGGAGATACCCTATATAGATTGCTGGGCCTCATCCTAAGTTTTTGATTCCGTAGGTCAGGAATGGAGTTGTATCGTTTGCATATCAGATTAGTTCCCAGATGAAAATGATGAACTGGTCTGGGACCCACATTTTGAGAATGTCCCTATGGTGCAACTCTGAGTGCCTGTCTACGGCCAGTCATCGCTGTGTCCCAGGGAAGTCAGTGAAATGTTCTGCTTATGGAGCTAGGCCCCAGCCAGCTCCCAGTTATCCTTCCTGCTTTTGTTTGTCTGTTTTTGCTACAGGGCTTGGTCACTTAAGCTTCTCTCTTTTTGATGCTTCCACTGCAAATTGGGTCATTAAATGGTTTTCTTTCTTCTCCCATGAAGCCTGGTTGTTTAAAAGAGTAACTCCTTTTCTTTACTGTGACTGAAGACAACCATCCAGGTCCTTTTCTCTCTTTTTCTTTTTTTTAGCAAATACAAAAAAAAAAAAGTCCTCACCAGAGGTATTTTCCCATTGGTTACTAGAGAGAATGGAAGGGAGGGGGAGAGAGAGAGAGAGAGAGAGAGAGAGAGAAACATTGATGTGAGAGAGACACATCGATTGGTTGCCTCCCCCACATGCCCCAAGCAGGGTCAGGGATTGAGACTGCAGCCTTGGTGCATGCCCTTGTCCGGAATCAAACCCGGGACCCTTCAGTCCACAGGCTGATGCTCTCTCTACTGAGCCAAACGTGCTAGGGCTAGGCCCTTTTCTCTTTGTGGGTTTTTCACTGATCACTTTGGAAAAATGAATTTAACAAGATAAATACACTTAAGAAAGTTCCAAAGCTTGCAAATTCTAACAGTGGTCTCTGGCCCATAGTCCCATACTCCTTTAAAATGGTAGCTGGGGTGGACTCCTTCTTAAGGAAGGTGAGACGGGCCGGGCTGACGCCCCTCAGGAGCCACCATGTTGGTGATACCCCCCGGACTGAGCGAGGAGGAGGAGGCTCTGCAGAAGAAATTCAAAGAAGAAAAAGAAAAAGGCACTGCTGGCCCTGAAGAAGCAGAGCAGCAGCAGCACAGCCAGCCAAGGCGTGTGAAACGCTCTCTGCCAGCGCAGCCCGTGCTGGACGCAGCCACCGCCACGGAGCAGGCAAAGCGGCTGGTGAAGTCGGGAGCCATCAGTGCCGTCAAGGCTGAGACCAAGAACTCGGGCTTCAAGCGTGCTCGAACCCTAGAGGGAAAGTTCAAAGACCCTGAGAAGGGGCCGGTCCCCACTTCCCAGCCGCTCCAGGGGAGCCTATCTGCTGATGACCATCTGCAGGAGTCGCCCAGACGTCCCCAAAGGACATCTCTGTACGAGAGCTTTGTGTCTGCCAGTGCCCGGCTTCGGACCCGGGGCCAGACGGGGAGGAGGCAGAGGGCCCGGGGGCTGGCGATGGCCGTCCCCGAAGCTCTGGATGGGGCTCCGAAGCACGTGGTAACGCCCGCTCCTCAGTCTCCCCTCCCCGAAGCCGCAGCCGGGACCGCCGTCGTGAGCGGAACCCGGACAGAGACCGGGACCGGGAGCGAGACAGACAGAGACCGGGACCGGGACCAAGACAGAGACAGAGAGCGAGACCGGGAGTGAGACAGAGACCGGGACCGGGACCGAGACAGAGATCGGCACCGAGACAGATACCGGGACCGAGAGCGAGACCGGGACCGAGACAGAGAGCGAGACCGGGACCGAGACAGAGACCGGGACCAAGACCGAGAAGGCCTTTTCCGCAGGTCGGACTCGTTCCCTGAACGCCGGGCCCCTCGGAAGGGGAACACTCTCTACGTGTTCGGGGAAGACGTGACGCCCACCCTCCTCTGTGGGGCCTTCTCCCCCTTTGGAAACATCACTGACCTCTCCATGGACCCACCCAGAAACTGTGCCTTCGTCACCTATGAAAAGATGGAGTCAGCAGATGAGGCCGTTGCTGAGCTCAACGGGACGCAGGTGGAGTCCGTGCAGCTCAAGGTCAGCATTGCCCGCCAACAGCCCATGCTGGATGCCGCCCCTGGCAAGTCCGTGTGGGGCTCCCTCGCCCTCCAGAGCAGTCCTCAGGGCTGCCACTGGGACAAAAGGACCCAGATTGTCTACAATGACGATGTCTGCCAGGAACACCTTGTGGGTGGCTTCTAGGTGGCGGAGCTGAACTGCTTGTGCCCCGCCTGCCCCGACAGTGGTCTCAGTAAAGCACTGAGGTGGAAGCTCACACACCTCCCTCAGCCTCTGGTTTCTCAGCACTGGGGATTGGGTTGAGCCTTTTACAACGGCTACTAGATTGGATCTCATTTGTAGCAAGATGGCCAGTGCGTCTTCCCCACTCCCTTACCCCAAAGGATGTTGAGCACAGGTGTTGTCACAGCTCTTAAAATTGGATCCCATGCCCCTTCCCAGGAGGAAACCCCTGAGAGAAAACGCAGATCCTCCTCATGGAGTTTCTCCTTGAGCCAGGGCAGCACTTGGAAGAGGTTGATGTGAAAGTCTCAGGCGTGAGCAGGCACCTGGTGCTGCAGTTTCTTGTCTTTGCAGACACCCACGACTCCCCAGCTGATCATACCAACCTGCAGGGGACGCAGGGTGGCCATGGGTCATTTGGTAGAATATCTCCTGCACCTCAGGAAGCACGGTTATTAATAGATGTTAATAGTTCTTAATATGTGTAAGTTAAGCTGTACAAATACGCTTTGTGAATTTCCATAAGAACGTATTTTATAATTAAACAAATGTTAAACCTTCCTGCTTTAAAAAAATTATCATTGTTTGTTTTATATTGAGCTGTATTGTCGACTGTTTTTAAAAATAGATTATGTTTCTAATTTTTTTCATTCTTTATTCTTCGTTGACACCTTCTCTTAGTTATTATTTTATTACACTTAGTGATACTTTATTTTTTAGAACAGTTTTAGATTAAAAATTTGATCAGAGAATTGGGAGAGTTCCCCCCATATAACTACCCCCATGCTACCTCATTCATGGTTTCCCCTATTATTAATACCTTACAATACTGTGGTACATTTGTTACAGTTGATGAATCAAGGCCTATACGTTATTTAATAAATCTGTTAATCAGATTTCCTCAGTTTTTACTCAATGTCCTTTTTATGTTCCTGCCGGAAGCCGGTCCACCCTTGCTGCTTGACACAGTCACTGCAGGGAAGAAACATCTGCACAGCTTATGTTTCCAGGGACCTGGCATATATGGCATATGTTTGCTCCCCCTCTTAA